GCACACACATACACACACACACACACACACACACACACACACACACACACACACACACACACACACACACACACACTTGTATTTGCTCTGATGCTAAAGGTGGCTCAGTCTCGTTCAGCCTGCAATCTGCATCCTCATTTCCTCCATCCCTCTCCCCCTCTCCTCCTTTCCTCCTCTCCTCACCTCTCTCCCCCCGTCACACCATGCTACGGATGCTGCTGTCTCCCCCCTTTACCCCCCAAACCTCACCCCAAAATCAGAGAGCCAGCACTCACCATGTTCTCCTGTTTTGCAGCCATTGCGACATGATATCCTCCTGTTTGCTCCCTCTGCTCTCTGCTGTGTGTGTTTGTGTGTGTGTGAGTGTGCGTGTGTGTGTGTGTGTGGGAGGGGAGGGGGGAGGAGGATATCATTGTCACGGCAACACCAGCAGCTTGCAGCAGCAGCAGCACCAGGCGATGGGAGAGGGGAGAGGAGAGAGAGAGAGGTGAGAAAAAGGCTTTAAAGACACTTGCTAGAGCGTCGACCAATCAGGAGCAATAGAAGGAGAAATAGAGCTGTGTTATTGGTCGATACGTCTGTCAGTTATGTGATGGTGTGTGCGTGGGCGGATGATTCTCTCTCTGTTTGTCACAGTGTCTCTCTCCCCTCTGAATTATATTTTTTATTTAAAACTGACTTTTACATACACTCATTTCTTTATTGCGTGTTTTATTATTATTGTTTTTTATTACACACAAAAACAAAAAATATATATATAGTTGCCTATGATTATTATCAATCTTTTTCTAATGTGTATCAGAAAATAATATATTGGAAATGGTGTGTGTGTGTGTGTGTCATATTATTGAATTGCTCATGCTCATACCACAACGAAATATGTCAAAATACTTTATCTTGCTTTTTTTTAAATCTTATTTTACACAGCAAAATTGTTATTAAATAAAATCCTTTTAAGAGAAAAACAACACTTTTTTATTCTGCCCACAACTAAAATGTATTTGTTGTAATTTTTATATATTCTCAGATATTTTTTAAACATATGATACAGGATTAAGAATGCATAATTAAACATTTTATATTTGTATTTGCAGGCATGGTGTGATTCCCCCTCCAGGCCGCTAGGTGGCGGTGAGTCTTCGTGAAAACGGTCCTCGCGCCATGTTGGTATAAATAGCAGTGAGCAGCGCTTCTTCAATCACTTCCTCCAGAAAACGACTCAGCAGAGACGACATCATCTCCGAAACAAACGGTAAATATAACTTTAAATATAACTTTTTACCATTAAATATAACATTGTACGTATCAATAACATCATATAGAAGTTAAATATGTCTTAATATATCATAGATGATGAGTTTATTTAACGGATGTTCGTAGATTGTCACAGCATCCAAAAATGCTGGAACTTCCAACACGTTGTTTTTAACCGAAAAACCGGAGTCATTAAAAGTGTTTTTAACTAAAAACGTGGATTCAAATCTGCTTTTTTAAAAACTATTTACATAAACGAAATGCTGAATCAAGCCCTCGTGTTCAAATGTAGTTGTTAAACAGACTAAAAAAGCATTTAAATGAGTTGTATGTTCGTGGTGCTTGTATCATTGCAGTACACTGGATATTTAAGACTTTTATTTACGTTTTAAATGTGTTTCCTACAGTTGAACACATGGTGGTGCCCAGCATCTCATTACAGCTTCACAATTCAAATACAACATTATTTATTAAAATGTATCGCCACAATTAAACTAATTTCGGTGCATTAATGCTACACAGCCCACTTTAGCTCTGATGTTTTTCATGCGATAAACATTTTATTAACTGTATATATTACATTTTTCAGGTTTAACATGTGTGTCTCCGGGTGCTGCTTCATCTCTGAGCTGATAGCTGAAGTCCACACCAGGTAAGAACATTTTTAATTGGTTTTATTTGCATTTTAATTCATTTTTATTGTAGATTCCTGCGCTGTGATGAAGCTTCTTCCTGCCATTCGTAGTTTCCACCAGAGGTCGAGAGACCAGTGATGGCCCAATCCTTCCTTGGATGTCTGAGCGCTTTTGTGCAATAAAAATAATGTTTATTTATTTTAAATCATGGGTTTTAGACTCTTATACAAGTCTGTTCCTTGCTACCCAGAGTACCATCAGCGCCGTGGAGAAATGACCCTCCAGGCCACCGTAGTGAAGCTGCTGATCATGAAGGATGATGGGATGAAATCATCGGCAAGCAGAAATGATTAACTTCGATACAGGTGAGCAAGTTTATTATATACTAACAAGAAGTTATTGAATTCGCTGTGATGAAGCTTCTTCCTGCCATTCGTAGTTTCCACCAGAGGTCGTGAGACCAGTGATGGCCCAATCCTTCCTTGGATGTCTGAGCGAATTTAAAGCAGAAAATTAAATAGTTTGGATTTTTTTTTCTCTAAATCTAACGTATCTCTGCGTGTCTCTTTCAGGGTGGAGTCGGTGCTCTCTGTGCTGTAGTCGACCCACTGGAGCTGGCTAATCCCTGGTATGTATATATTTTATCGGGT